TGATTACTCAAATAGGTACATTGGGGAAACGAATATTTTTGCAATATCATTAATCGCATTAGGTAAAAACCTATTCAATTGACTAAATGTTACTATTGATCTCTAAAGTTTTTTACAAAAACGCTTTGGACCCAAGAAATAATTTCAATGAACTTTGTTAAAAAAAAGGGGAAAAAAAAAAAGAAGAAACAAAGATACAAAGAACTTGGTTAATTGTTACAAGTTACAACTCTTACAATGTTGTTGGAATTAAAAATATTTGTGTTATGGAAAGAATAAAGGTTGGTCATTACATAAGTGATTGGTATATACGTATTATATTTTATTAAAGTTTAACAGAGTAAAAGTACGAAAGTACCGTGTTCAATTTTTTTTTCGCAGTAAAAAAATATTGATTGGCATGAAAGTTACAATTGTATTTGGGTAATATGTATAATTATTATTTGACATCACTCATTATTAATGGAAAGATAGAAGTAGTTTACACAACTTGCATATGAATAAAGTAAAAAAAAAAACACTTTGTAAACACTAATGAAATTTGTAAGGCTTGAACTTTTATTTATGTTGTCCATAGTTAATAAAGGTAAATACTTGTAAAACAATTCCAAAACTAAAAGATACATTGGCATGAAATTCAGCTGGATTTAGCATCAATCAACCTCTCGATGTTACTTTCATCATTGTTCTTGCTAAGCAGAAGTCTTGCTAAGTACTTTAATCGTTCAACACACATGTCACTTGTCTGGTCAATGTCACAAATGAAAATGGAGTTATTAATTGTGCCACAAATGATATATAAGTTTCACAAAGAATAAAATTTGATCCGTACTTTGTAAGTAATGTCCTTCATGACGTTGATATCACCACACTCGATGTATTTCAAAACAAACATTCCACCATCATGACTGTATACCAAAAATTATTTAAATTAGGATTATTTAAATTAGAACAATGAAAACAATCTAGTAAAAGGAATGTTGTTGAATATACCTGTTTGACTGTTTAAAAAAGATAAAACGTCAATTGTAATACTATTGAAATCTTTAAAAAATTGACCCAATGGATTTCTCCGCATTGCATTGCAGGCACACTTAATCTAATCACAATTTTATCAACAATGTTAATCACACAATCGGTAACAATAAAAGTATTGCCATATAGTCAAGTAATTACCATACCCGTAGCAAGATTGTATCTGTTGTCTGTGACCAGTAGTGAATCAACTACCCACACCTTTTTTATTTTGACATGAAACACCAATAGGAACCAATGGTTTTCTTCTATTTCCATAACGGGTATGAATATCTAATGAACAAATAACATTTTGTGGCTCACTTATCATCAAAGATCATCAAACAACATTTTGTGGCTCACTTAGACAAAACTTATAGTATATGTTAAATATCTCAAACCTGTTCAATCTTGTTGAGATCCCCAGACGGTATAAATGTTTCAAAAACTTTGGAACAGTAATTGAGAATAGATGGAGTCATGTAATGCGAGCACCTTTTGTCTGACTTCAGTACTAATGTCTACACGCAACATGTATAATTTATAATTTATGAGTTTAGCAAATAAAACTTTTATTCCCATTTTATGTAAAAGCCAATGTACCTGGAATGCTGCTGGCAATATCAGCTTAGTTGGGTTATGTAACCCCATTTGTATATCATACAAATAGACATTTATAAGCTGCAATTAAAATAGTTAAAATAAAAGTGTCATGTCATGTTCCACAAAACAAATAATGTCCCAGAAAAAAAAATCGATTTGAAATTAGTAATAATAGTATACCTGATTAGTAATCACATTATCCGGATACAAACACCAAGATTCACCCACAGTCAACCTGATAATTGATTTATTTTTGGCACAATAAAATTCCTCACTGTTCTCATCTTTGTGAACATTCACATATATTTGTTTCTCCAAGGAGTCCAAATATGATACATATTCAAGAAATAAAAATTGTGTTGAATGTTCTTCATTAAACCGTAACACATCCTCATCATCATCACTAGTATGATCCTCTTCGGGTATTTCATTAGAAGTGCGTTCCTTCCGCATTTTTTATTTGCATAATTGGGCCTATGGCATTAGTAATAATTTAATATGTAATTACAATTAATTATATTACTGAATACCATTTTGTTTGTAGTCGTCACACAAAAAAAGTTGAGCATAAATATGATGAAATTACCTGTGCACCTTGGGCCTTTGGATTGCTTTTATTCCCCCTTTTTGGCTTTGATGATGATGATTCCTGTGTCTGTAAATGGGGAGGAATAGTTAATAGGTCAGTCGTTAAAAAACCGTAATGTAATGACCAATATTTGATTTAGTGATTACATATTTACCTTTTTCATATTCACATTACTGTTATCATCAATCTGACTCAATTGCCTTAGTCTTGGCCTCCTAAGTGGCCTCTTCTCCGAATTTGTTTGTGGTTCACCGTTATCAGTGGTTGTTATTGCTTTTGACTTTGGAGTCAACACTTTGATATCAGGGCTTCTAACTTTATCTTTTGTCTTTTTCTCCTTCGCTTTTTCTTCATCCTCTTTAAGATCTTGGAGTGTTTCCAAACCCGGTGGAAATTGAGGCTCAGTAAAACGGATATATCTAATGTCGAATGAGTCAACATCGAAGCCAGCAAAGTGGTTTTCCTCTACTTCTTCGCCTTCGTCGCCAGTGTCATTAACATGTAGCTTTCGCTTAGTTGTTGAGACATGTGAGCTAACCATCAACTCGCCATCAGGGCTTAGGAAAGGAGAATACGAACGATTTCCATGCGGAGTTTTACCAACAGTGTCTGCTTCTCCGTCAGTCCTACAATCAGTTGATTCTAGAACCTTGGTTGAACTCTATGATATACTAGCAGCAACATCGGCAACGAGTTTAGCCAATGTCAACTCTATGTTTGACAGTTTGCAGTGAATATCAGTTATTTTTTTCTCCATTGCCTTACTTTTCTGCAACGATAAATCAATTCCAGAGATCATGAGTGATTTAAAAATGGAATTAAACCATTATGAATGAATTTGATTTGCTTAAAACATAAACCCTGTATAGACGAAATCAATGTTCATAAATAATTCCTTCAAAAAGATAAAAAGTTGTTCATCTTTGAACCAATTACATACGCATAAAAATAAAATTGAATTTAATTTTAAATATTGGTAAAAATACATAGCAAAAAAACAAATTCAATTTCGAGTATAATTACATTGGGTTTTGCTTTTTTAACCATGATTTGAATACCAAAAATAATTGTGAAAACTGTGAAACAAATTCGGTTGAAAAGAGTATGCGAGGATGATAAAGATGTGAAGCAAAGAACCCTAACGTTGTTGTTTGTAAAGATTTTTTAAAATTTAAAAGATAAAAATCATTTAACTTTTAAAGATAATAAATTAGGAAAATATCCTATTTAGAATAACTGATTTTCAATATATAATCTATTCATAATTTAAAAAGATAGAAATTTAGGAAAAAATCATGATTAGAATAAGTGATTTCCAATATTAAAATGCAATTTCTATACTTAAAATATATCGATTCCATAATTTTTGTTTATTGATTAGTTCGAATCATTGTCCAGGTTCATCGTATTATAAATTGCCATCGAGGTAAATTCTATTATAATAATTGGAAATGTCCAATGTTACATTTGGTCATTATCTTTTTATAATTAATAAAATTCAGTTAAGGTTATGTCATATTTGTATTTGGGTCAATTCCTTTATCACAAACAGTGTTTATAATTCGATCTTCGATTTTTTGGATCAAAAAAAGTTGTGAAAAAAAATGTGTTACGGTTTCTTCTCAGATTTTCATGACGAATATATATATTAGCGAAAAACTTAAAATTTTGATTTCTTATACCTTAAATCGCTATTTTCGAATCCGATGCTTGATTTTGTACAATTAAAATCTATAATTCAAAGATTAAGAATCCACCCACAGGATGATAGAAACCGATTATGTGTACCATAAATTTGCGCAATGGCTGTATAAATCAAGCCTATTTTTTCGGTCTCCATTGATGCGCAATTGAAATTAAGGTACATGGAACATAAAATCGTGGTTGATTTCATTATTTGATGAAAAAATTGGATGAACTAGGAAGAACATTGATGAACATCGAAGAATGACGAAGAACAAATTTTTGATTTTTAACTTTTTTTTTAATCTTAATTTTAGATTTAGATAAAATAAATTCGAAAATTAAAATAATATTTTCAGAAATTCATTAATTCATTAATTGAAATTTGAAAAATAAGAAAATGAATTAAAGAAGCAAAATACCTTAATTACCCTTAAATAAGGTTTGACCAAGCTAAAAAAATAAATCTAAAATCAACCAATGACATTTAATTATAGCTATAGTCATATTTAAGATGACCATAGTAGAAACATCCATAAAAATTAGGTGAGTAGAATATATAATAGTAATAGTCATATTTGAAGCCTAGATGGAAATGCCTGATTATACTACCTCCGTTACAGGTTATGTGCAACGATTAGAAATTTTCCCTATCTGCTTTATGTCAAATCGTTGAACATAACCTGTAACGGAGCTAGTATTTGAAATGTTTATGTTGAGTCCATGAGAAAACCCACATGTGAGTGATGTGTTGTCCCACATTGAAGAGTGTAGAAAGTGTTGGGAAGTGTATCCCACATTGAAGAAATAAGAAAATCGTGTCCACTTTATAAGGCTAAGGGGCTACTCCCCTTATTGTCATATGGTTTTGAGGTAGAACCTTCTTGGTCTTATAAAATGGATTGTTGTGACGTGTGTGGCCCAGACTCGTTTATAAGTTTAAGTACGATGTGTAACTTTCACTTTTTTGATGACTCGAATTGGACATTAATTTTCACAAGTGTATTAAAGCATGAAATTTACTTGATACCATATAAACTAAAATATGAAAGATCATAGAGCGAGCAAGAAAGGCAAAATATGATTAATATAAATGCAAATGTAATGATAAATAATTGTATTATAAAAACGGCTCATCAAGTTAACAATGTTGGGATTAATCTGATATGACACAAATCACAACCTTCATCAGCTAATAATTTTCAGAATCACAAGCAACTTTGAAGTTTGATTAATTGAACCTACTACACGTTTTTCTAATTTCTCCTTGGTTGCCTGTTAGTACATCAAGCGCTTGTAATTTCACCATGGCACTAGCCAATTTTGTGTTGAATAAGGAAGCACTTTGCCCGAATTGTTGAACAAAGGGAACCGTTTTAGGGTCACGAGCCAATGCTTGGTCAATTGGGAGAATTCCTCTTTGCTTAAGGATTTGATCAAAGAAAGAGTTGTCAACTATGTTTGAGCTTTGTGGATTTTGATCAAGAAATGTGGAATTATTCGCCGTTGTGCCCTTGGGGCATGTTGGCATAAGTTGTTGGCGAAGAGTTGGGTCCATAATTGGGTCAAATTGGGTAGTACCTTGGTAAAGTCTATCTTGGAAGAATGCACAGCTTGAGACACCAACTGTGTGACAACCTAAAAGAATAACCATTTCTTCTGTTGTAAATTTTTTTTCATTGAATGCTGAAATGGTTTCACTGACGGTCAAAAAAGGGCTTGGTAAATTTACATCTTGAGCTCTTGACACTAGTCCATCTCTTCGTCCTGTTTGTACGGAGTAAATCGGTCCACCTCCCTGTTGTTGAAAAACCATTAAATGTAAATATTTAATCCTAAAATGAATCGAATCACCCTTAATATGAAAGCAAACTGGGTTAATTTGTAAGTCTATGAGCTTACCAGTTTAATCAGTTCTGTAGTAGCAATGGCAATAATGTCAGCACACGAAACAACACCCGGACATTGTGCTTCTGCAATTGCTTTCAAGGCATCAATCAATTCATATCCTCTTACGCTAAGGTTAGGACCTGCTGCTTTCTCAGTGGAAAGTCCATTTATGAGGATCGATGCATCACATCCCTTCAATAATTTAATGAAAAGACCATTAGTACATGCAGTTGACAATGACAATGTATGATTATGACATATATTGGGATTGGGGGTGTCCAAACATTAAGCTAAATTAGTAAGTGTATTTTATATAAGAAAGACATATAGATGTTATAATAAGGTTTTGAATGATTCTTTCAAATTATATAAAAAGTAGTCAACCTAAAATAACAGGTAATAAATGAGGGCATCACTTGGAAATGAGATTGATGATGCAATGATCGACATAGAATATAGATAGCAAGAGCGTTGAGGGCTTACATGTACGAAACAATCATGAAATTGCATACGAAGGATGGCAGGAAGAATAGTTGGATCCTTTCGGAAATGTTCTTGTACTTTGATTGCAAGCACTGCCTCAATATCCACTAGTTTGTTAGGGCATAGACCTTTATAAAAGCCGACCTGCAAACCCGAAGGTCTAGTAGGAGTAGGAGTAGGAGTAGGAGTAGGAGTTGGAGTTAGAGTGGTAGGTGGAGGAACATTAGGAGGACTTAGAGGAGGGCTTAAAGGAGGGCTTGAAGGGATTGGAGTAGGACTACTATATGTAGGAGGCTTGTTATGCCCACGACCCACATGTCGACCCTTGGAACCATGGCTCTTTAGTCCATAAGACTTTCGGCCATAGCTCGATTTTGATCGTCCTTGTTTCCAACCCAAACCCTTAGACTCACCCACATTGCTTAATGCTAAAATGAACATTGTTAAAGCTAACACTCTAACTAAAATACTAGTAGCTGAAAACTTCATATTGTTTTAGCTTCTTTAAATCGATATTATTTATGAAAGTGTTATAAGTGTATGTTTGCAAATGTGTTAGCAAATTGGCTTATTTGTTTCAATTGGGCAAGGACCTATATATATTGCAAGACATGCACAGGTTTAGAGGTATAATTAATTGGCTAATGATTGTTATTTAATTTCTAAAACTCCTAAACTTTGGCGGCTTAAATTTACAATTAGTATTGCAAGAAGACGTGCGTAGCAGAATGTATTGTCGCCATATTCTTCTGGTAGGCAAAGTCTCCAACACAATTATTTGAAGATTATTGTTTAAAATATAAAGGATAGAATAGACGTGTTGCCGTACAAGCTTAAGCTGGTCTAATTATAATAAGCATATTATATCTCTTTTATTGTTCGCTTTTGTAGTTTCGTTTCTAATATTGCTTTGTTCCACTTTAATTTGCAATGACAAGGGTTTTAGTTTCAAATATTTTTGGGTATTGGAGAATTATTTATATCTTTCACTGCCATTAAAATCCGAAAATGTAGAACTTTTGATAATTCATCACAATTATTTAATAAGTTATTATTGATAATTACAACTACTCCAACAATTCCTCTTATGTCTCTCACATTTTTAATAGGATCTTGCTAACGAACGCCCACGGGGTGTTGTATAAGCATTTAAAATATTACCTAAAGTGGTATTAATTTGAGAAAACATGACAAAATCACGCGTCGATTAATGTTATTTTTTAATTTAATCCTTCTATTTTTAGCTAGCTTATCTAATACCCCGGAACGTTTGTTAGCTTTTGCCTTTTTAATAAGTTATTATTGATAATATTTAATAAAAAGATGCGGAGTATTAAATTAGAACTAGTTCTAGAGCCAGATTATAGTTAATTAGGATCATGCCATGGGAATAACATGTTGACTTTTTAATATTAATCTCAACTCATGTTCGTCAACCGTTTAACATCGAGCCTGATATCATTTTTTATATGAAGAAAATATTTGCAAAATCTGGTTCGTTTAATTTCAACCTGCATGGGTTCGGTGATTAGAATAACATGTTGACTTTGTAAGGGAGGATTTGGGGAAACCACTTAGTTGACCTTGTCCAATTCAATTCAATTATTTTCTTAATTGACTACCAAAGTTATCAGAATGTCATAATATTATTCAATTCAAATGATAAGTTCGATCAATGAGATATGGATGCACATAGACATGTAGATATTAATTTTATTTACTTTAGGTGGTTGAAACACTTAGCTAGCAAGAATATTTCTCTATCTTCTTGTTATTTAGTACTTGCCGTAGTCGTTTAAGGGTTGTATACTTGTATGTAAGAAAATAAAAGTAAATATTAAGATAAATATATAGTATGTACGCCATGTGATTAATTTTGCATATATACATTTGGAATTTTCTTACTTCTTATTTTATTTGATTTGTGCATATTGCTTGAGAAATTTAATCTATTGTCATTTGTCAATGAGAATCGGAATTAGGTTCATAAAGTATAATTTATCATTGGGAAACTCTATATTATACTCCTGAGGTATTGACTATTCCACGTTATACCCCTCCCTTTGAAAAGTTCCATGTTGTAACCTCAAGGTCCCAAAAGTGATTAAGTTGTACCCCTACTGTTAGGGGTGAACAAAAACTGGCCCGGACCTGAAAACCGACCTGAACCGGACCTGTTGAGACCGGACCTTATCCAGACCTGTAGATTCAGGTCCGGTCCCGGTCCTTGAAATTCAAGGATTCCGAGTTTCAGGTCCGGTCCGGGTAAAACCCGGAAATTTTAGGTCCGGACCTGAAACCGGTAAAACTACTTTTTTTTATTTAATAAGTTTAAATAGGTCCATAAACAGGTCCAAACAGCTTTAAATAGGTCCAATCAGGTCTAAACAGGTCCATAACAGGTCCAAACAAGTCAGCACTTTCATATTATTTAAAAAAAATAATAATAATCAGGTCTATTCAGGTCCAAACCCGGACCGGACCTGTTGATTCAGGTCCGGTCTCCGGTCCTTAAAAATCAAGGATTCAGGTCCGGTCCGGTTTTGGACCGGTGTACAACCCTACCTACCGTTATCCCTCCGTTACATGTTGCCATAAGTGGGTCTCACTTTACACCTATTTTTTTTCTCGATTTTTTGCTAAAAAATTTCCCATTAAAGGTTTTAGGGGTCACTTTAGCTTTAAAGGGATCAAATTGAGCTCGAATTTTGCAAAAAGTAACGTAAAAGCCCCGTTTTATGAATTCTAAATTTAACTATGAGAATTCAAATTCACAAAAAGGGGCTTTTACGTTACTTTTTTGCAAAATTTGAGCTCAATTTGATTCTTTTGGAACTAAAATGACCCCTAAAACCTTTAATGATACAATTTTTAGCACAAAAACCAAGAAAAAAAATAAGTAAGCGTAAAGTGGGCCCCACAAACGACAACATGTAACAGAGGGATAACGACAGGGGTCACTACTAGAAAACATGTAAATAACGACGGAATTTTTCCATCGGAAACACCCTAAATTCCGTCGGAAATGGGGTTTTCGACGGAATTTTCGTCGTAACGGGTCGTCGGAATACATGTTGTAGGAAAACCGGCTTTTCCAACGGAATTTCCGTCGGAAACACTATTTCGACGGAAATTCCGACGAAATTCAATCTGTCGGCAACGATTTTCAGGCCAGAGAAACTCTGTCGGAAAATTCCGACGGAATGTAATCCGCCGTAATTTTTCGACGGAAATTCCGTCGGAAAATTCTTAAAAAAAAACAAAAAAAAGCCTCCCACCACCCCACACCACCAGTCCCCCCCCCCATCCAGACCCAACCACAACCATACACCACCAGCCCCCCCCCCATCTAGACCCAACCACAACCACACACCACCACACACCACCATCGACCCTATCCCACCACCGACACCACCACAACCAAAAATTAGCCCAAAAAACCGTAAATTAACCCAGGAAAACAAAAATTTACGCGACAAAAGCAAGAAATAACACACAAAAACTCAAAAGTTGTAGATCTACATATTTAATCACAATTTCATAAAATAAAACGATGATTAATCAACAAAAATTAAATCAAATATATAAATATACAATTACCTATTTAAATTTACAATATATCATTACAATTACATATAAAATTAACTAGATCTAAGAATCTATCCTAAATTAAAACAAGATCTACCAAAAAAAGACGATGGTTGTTGGGTTTGATGTTGATGCCCGATTGTTGGTGTTGCGTCGCTGTTGAGGTTGATGTTGGTGGTGGTTGAAGGAGCTTCATGTTGCAGTTGGTGTTGTATCGTTGTTGTTGTCAGTGTTGTAGGTGAACTGAAAAGAAACGAAGAGAGAGAAAGGGCGATGAATAGAAGAAGAAAGGAAAGAGAAGGAGAAGAGCAGAGGGGAGAACGAAGGAGAAGAGAAGCAGGGAGAACGAAGGAGAAGAAGGAGAACGAAGGAGGAAGAAGGAAGGAGGAATGAGAAAGAGAGAATGAAGGAGGGGAGAGAGAGAAAGAGAGAGCAGAAACATAAGAGAGAGAAAGAGAGGCGGAAATAAGAAAGGGGGAAGGGGCTGCTTTAGGGTTTGGGGAATTTATTTTAATTTTTTTTAATTACTTTCCGACGGAAAATTCCGTCGAAAATTGTAAATTCCAACGGAATTTTCCGTCGGAAAGCACATATATTCCGACGGATATAAATTCCGACGGACTATAATTCCGTCGAAAATTGTAAATTCCGACGGAATTTTCCGTCGGAAAGCACATATATTCCGACGGATATAAATTCCGTCGGAAATTTCCGACGAAAATATTATTCCGACGGATATAAATTCCGTCGGAAATTTCCGATGGATTTTCGACGAAAATATTTAATTCGTCAGAAATTTTCGACGGAATTTATATCCGTCGGAAATTTCACTTTTTCCGACGGAATTTCAGGCCGTCAAAACCAGTCCGTCGTAATTTGCTTGTTTTCTAGTAGTAGGTACAGCTTAATCACTTTTGGAACCTTGAGGTTACAGCGTGGAACTTTTCAAAAGGAGGGGCACAACGTGGAATAGTCAATACCTCAAGGGTATTATGTAGAATTTCCCATTGTCATTTAAGTGAACATCGTTTGATAATAGGTCCCTTAAATGTCATGCATAATATAATGCCCCTCAGTGTTTAACCTTTGGCTAATAAGATGAGTGTTACAACATATGTTTATTCGTTTGCATAAGCTAATATTGAGATTATAATTTTATAAAGAGCATTCGACCACCACCATATTTGTACACTCGTTAGTTTAGAGAACCTTGCAAATTTTGCTAATCACTCATTGCATTAAATAGAGTTTCATTAACCTTTGACCATATTTATGGACCAACTCAACTAAAAGTTAGGGGTAGGTGGATGAGATTTGAACTCGTGATCTTTGAGTCACGTTGTCTCTAATACCATGTTCAAGAACCAACTCAATCAAAAAGTTAATTGAATAGTTAAAGCCCATAATTTGTTATATACTCTATCAAACCCCTTCCCCTATTTTTGCAATAATTTACCCTTAACCACTATTGCAATTTCCCTAGAATTGCTTAAACCCTTTCCTTTCCCAATACTCTCATAGTGTCATCGATTGATTATTGCTTTTCATAAATTGAATTTTGATTGTACATTTGTACTGATCTTGTATCGAGTAACCAACACTTCTCCTTGTACAAGTCAACTATTTACATCCGTTTTTTTTTTCAGTTGATCGTATTCCTTTTTAGGAAAAAAAATTTAGCTGACATTTTTCCTTTTGGGGTAAGTATTTTACCTTGCATTAACTAGCTATCCCACTTGCTTTATCATTCTTTCTCAATCTCTCTCTTCTTCTTAATATATGCCTAAATCAACGCGTCAACTATATAGAAACGGAGAAAGTATTATTTAATATTTAAATTTGTATGTATTTGAGTCTCCCTTATGAGAGTTTCTCGTTTCCCTCTAGGATTTCTCTTTTAGGAGGATTTTCCTAGCCTTCACAGCTAGGTTTTTTTTTACTCTTCTCCCTTTTCTCTCCTCTCCTTTCTTTCATCTCTTTTGTTTCTGGTCTTAATTGTGAATAATTGTAGGGGATTTCCATGGGTATTGTTATTGGTGGTAATCCCTCAAACAATTTTATCTACTTTTAATAAATAAATCTCATCGTTGAAATGATGTTTTTTCTATTGTGGTTTATTTTGTTATATGTTTCACTAACAAGGATTAAAACCCTAGGGTTTCATAATCACCATAAGTATCTAGCTAGTGGACCACATGAATATTTCACCCAAACATTTATTTATTAGTAGATTGCAAGCCGAATTAGTGCTGACTCTACAGATGAAGTTGTGCGATTAAAATGTGATGTAATTAGTGCCTAATCCTGTATTTTTTTTTTTAGGAATTGTTAGAAATTGTTTGTAAGAGCCATTTGATGGTCTCTCATCCATGAAACCATGTTTCTTCATTAAAAAAAAAACAAAATCTTAATTTGTTTGAGTAGAAAACTCAGAAGATCATCAATAATGATTGCTTCAAATATGGGTTTTTTTTTTTTTAATTAAACATATATTGCCTTTTTCATTTTTTTAATTTATTGTATGCTTTATTTGCTTGATATATAGATAGAAGGAATGCTTGATTCCATTTTACATATATGCTTAAATGCGATCAAATTATATAACTTTTTAGAATAATTCAAACTAGAGAATGACAGTATAAAAAACATAGAAATTAGTAGAAAACAAAAAAAATTAATAATTAAATAAACATAAATAATTGAACAATCAAAACCTTATAGGGCAAGGAAATGAATGTAGCATATACGATTATATTATAAAGCAAATATAATGCTTGAATGTAACATAAAAAACCAAGAGTTCTCAATCCTTGGCAAGACTTGAAAATATATATACCCTTCACATTTCAAATTTTGTATCAGATGAACTTCAATTAGTTGAAACTACTGCAAGTTTTTCTAATTTCTCCTTGGCTACCGGTAAGGACATCAAGTGCTTGCATTTTCACCATGGCACTAGCCAATTTAGAGTTGAATAAGGAAGCACTTTGCGCGAATTGTTGTACAAAGAGTGTCGTTTTAGGATCACGAGCTAATGCTTGGTCAATTGGGAGAATTCCTCTTTGCTCAAGGATTTGATCAAAGAAAGAGTTGTCAACTATGTTTGAGCTTTGTGGATTTTGATCAAGAAATGTGGAATTGTTCGATGTTGTGCCCTTAGGGCATGTTGGCATTAGTTGCTGTCGAAGATCTGGGTCCATCAGTGGGTCAAATCGGCTAGTACCTTCGTAAAGTCTATCTTGGAAAAATGCACAATTTGAGACGCCTACTGTATGACAACCTAAAAGAATAACCATTTCTTCTGGTGTAAAATTTTTATCACCAAATGCCGAAATGGTTTCACTTACTGTCAAAAATGGACTTGGAAGATTTACATCCTGCGCTCTTGACACTAGACCATCTCTTCGCCCTGTTTGTACGGGATAATTTGGTCCACCTCCCTATTTTTGAAATTGTAGATCATTTAGTATATATATATATTGATCACATAAATTATAAGCTTGATGAGAAAACAAAGTAATTAGTAGCTAAAACCATAAAAAGCCATGAATTTACCAATCTAAGAACTTCCTTAGTAGCAATAGCAATAATGTCAGCACATGAAACAACACCGGGACATTGTGCTTCTGCTATATCTTTTAAGGTGTCAATCACTTCATACCCTCTTACGCTAAGGTTTGGACCAGCCGTTTTCTCAGTGGAGAGTCCATTAATAAGAATTGATGCATCACATCCCTTTAAAGGTAAAAAAAATTAAATAAGTCAGATAGATACAAATCAAGTGAAACATATTTAGAGATAGTTTTTTTTGTCAAAAACTACCTAATAAAGCCCAGTTTTAACATTTTACCTTTTATAAGGTAGTTTCTTACAACATTTTTTTTATTAGGTAGTTTCTCACAAATTTTAGGTTGTATTAGATAGTTTCTGACAAAGAACCCTTAGAAATACGTGATATAACCACAGATTATACAACTAAAAAGAGCTTACATGTACGAAACAATCATGAAATTGCATGCGAAGGAGAGCAGGGAGAATAGATGTATCCTTTTGGAACTCTTCTTGAACTTTGATTAAGAGCACTTCCTCAATATTTTCTAGTCCGTTAGGACATAGACCTTTATAGAAGCCGACCTGCAAACCAGAAGGTGTAGTTGGGGTAGGAGCACTTGGAGGAACAACGGGAGGAGTTAGAGGAGGACTTGAAGGGATTGGACTAGGGCTATTCCTAGGGGGCTTACCATTACCATAGTCTTTTCGACCATAGCTCGATTTTGATCGTCCTTGATTCCAATTCGAATCTTGAGATTGACCCACATGGCTTATTGCCAATATAAGCATTGTTAGAACTAGGGCTCTAACTACAACACTAGTAACCGAAAACTTCATTTTTTTTTTCCTAGCTTCTTACAATGGATAGATTATGAATGAAATTATAATTATTAGTGTAGTTTGTATGCAAATAAATGTAATTAGCAAAGTGGTTTGTTTTCCTCATTTAATTTAGGCAAATGCATAGATATATACTATGTACGGAATACATTGATAGGGAAGACATACAAAACGTGCAAAGATGATTGTATTGTCGCCATGAAATGTTCGTCAGTGTTGCCGTAGTAATATGTAGATTATTTCAGACCATAACTTATATTATATTATATTCTGATAGGTGAATTCCGCTAAGACAATTATTCTGTGATAATAAGTTATAATCCGTACGATTGTACTTCGTATTGTAGTATTTGCCAAAAGAAGAAATAGCATAGAAATTACGCGTTTACATACAACTTGGAAGTTGGAAGTGGTCTAAATATTGTGGATGCATGTATTCCCTCCATCTTAGAAAACATGCATCATTTTGATTTTACACATTTTATTTTGAAATTTTCAGATATACAAAGTACATTATACAAGTACACAGAACATTATATAAGTACCAAATATCACATAATCACTTTTTTTAGTTTAATTTAATTTTCTTATAAAAAATTAATGTGATATTGTAATTATTTTATTATTTTTTTTTTGAAACAAATGTGATATTGTAATTAGATTAATAATATAGCATTTAATATATTTACTTTTTAAAATTTAAGTTGGGAATTTATCGACAATTTACAAGTAAGTCGGTGTAATAAATATTTATTTATTTTCTATTCTTTCCACTTTTAGCTTCTTTTATGCAATCTTTAGGACTGCAAATATCTTTTTCTTTGTAATTATAATATTTCAAGTTATGTGTTGAAAAATATAAATTATTAAAAAACTAGTTTTTATATTTTCATTCAATTGCGAGTATCAAATTTGATACTTCTTTTAATAATTTAATGATTCAAGCTGAAATTAAGTTAAATTAGGGTCTGCTCAATTCAGCTTTTAATTTTTCCTTCATTTCAGCTTTTAATTTTTCCTTCTCTCATAAAATTAAATATTCATTTCAGCTTAATTCAGTTCAGTCCAGCTCAATTCATTAAATGTGAACAGGCGCTTAGGGTCTGTTCTCATACGTTTCAGTTCAGCTCCTAATTTCCTTATCTTTAAAAATATTCAGTTCAGTTCAATTCAGTCTATGAGAATAGGCCCTTAGTTGTGTCAAAAAAAAAAAAAAAAAAACCCTTAAAATAGAATGTATAGGCATTAAAGTTAACATATTATTACATTCATATAAATGCAAATACAATTGCTTAAATATAGAATTAAAATATAGCTAACCATGTTCCATTCCTGGGCTAATAACATAAAATAGCCTACAGCTTAGAACTTTAATTAGTTGAACCTATTGCAAGTTTTTCTAATCTCTCCTTGGCTACCGGTAAGTACATCGAGTGCCTGCAATTTCACCATGGCACTAGCCAATTTAGAGTTGAACAAGGAAGCACTTTGAGCGAATTGTTTAACAAATGAAACTGTTTTAGGATCACGAGCCAATGATTGGTCGATTGGAAGAATTCCTCTTTGCTCAAGGATTTGGACAAAGAAAGAATTGTCAACTATATTTGAGCTTTGTGAATTTTGATCAAGAAATGTGGAATTGTTCGCTGTTGTGCCCTTGGGACATATTGGCATAAGTTGTTTGCGAAGAGTTGGATCCATAATTGGGTCGAACTGGGTAGTACCTTGGTAAAGTCTATCCTGGAAGAATCCACAACTTGAGACACCAACTGTGTGACAACCTAAAAGAATAACTATTTCTTCCGTTGTGAATTTCTTAGCATTGAATGCTGAAATGGTTTCACTCACTGTCAAAAATGGACTTGGAAGATTCACATCTTGGGCTCTTGATATTAGTCCATCTCTTCGCCCTGTTTGTATTGAGTAGTTTGGTCCACCTCCCTATTAACGGATGAACACAAAATTAATTGAAAGAGAAATAGAAAATAAGATGTACTTGTGTTTAAATTAATTCCAAAGTAATGAGTCACAAATAAAATACCCTTCAATAGGAAAATCAAAAGGAAAATCATTAAGTGTAAGAATTTACCATTCTAAGAACTTCTTTAGTAGCAATAGCAATGATGTCAGCACATGATACAACACCCGGGCATTGTGCTTCTGCTATATCTTTCAAGGCATCAATCAAATCATATCCTCGTACACTAAGGTTGGGTCCGGCTGTCTTCTCAGAGGAGAGTCCATTTATAAGGATTGATGCATCACATCCCTACAAAATTTAAACAAAAAAAACATTAGATGAAACATTTTAATTATGTCATTATCAACCATATGGACAATAAAATTGATGCTACAATATAGATGGCTTGAAAGTTGATCGAGGACTTACATGTACAAAACAATCATGAAATTGCATACGGAGCAGGGCAGGAAGAATAGATGGATCCTTTCGAAAATGTTCTTGTACTTTGGTTGTGAGTGCTGCCTCTATATCCACTAGTTTGTTAGGGCACAAACCTTTATAGAAGCCAACTTGCAAACCAGAAGGTGTAGTAGGGGTAGGAGTACTTGGAGGACCAATAATAGGACTTAGATCTAGAGGAGGTCCTGAAATAATTGGAAGATTAAACCTAGGGGGCTTGTTTCTTCCATGACCCATATGTCGACCATTGGAACCATGGCCCTTTATTCCATGAACCGAACCATGGGATTTACGACCATAGCCCGGTTTTGATCGTCCATGTTTCAAACTAGAACCATGAGATTGATCCGCATGACTTATTGTCAAGATGAGCAATAGAGCCAATGTTTTGACGAAAATACTAAAAATCGAAAACTTCATTTTTTTTTTTTTTTTTTTTTCTTTCTAGCTTCTCACAATTGATTATGAATTATGAATGAAATTGCTAATGTATGTATGCAAATGTAATTAGCAAATTGCTTTGTTTTTCTTACTTATGTGAATGTCTATATATATACTACGTACATTGCAAGGAAAGACATGCAAAATGTATAAGTATTTGGTTAATAATTAATTTAATACAATGCACATTAATAATACTTCCAATACTTAGCTTGGTTGTTAGAAATTATGTAGCAAATCGTGCGTAGAAGATCGTATTATTGGCATGGAATGTACGTAGGTGTTGACATAATTATCTGCAGATTATTCCAGACAACATATAATCTTGTAGGTGAATGTCTTGAAGACAATCATTTGGATTTTTTAATAATTGACAAAATTATAAACTAGTGTATATGCATGGGATTATAATATGCGTTGACCCATGTATATGTGATTGTATGAATATTGTGCATAATTATCAAATTAAATGAATCTTGATTATCTCCTTGGCTATCATCTCAATTATTTATTTTGGGGTCCTATGAAACTTCAATTATTTAAGGATATTTTGTGAAAAACTACCTTTTAAACTTTGAATTTTGCGAAAAACTACCCTAAAAACAAAATGTTGTAATTAACTACCTTATAAAATATAAAATGTTGCAATTAACTACCTTATAAAGTATAAAATGTTGTAATTGACTATCTCTAACCGGAATAACACATTTGATTTTTATTTTTCGGTGTTGACCTTGTCATGTGAGGGTCACATGACCCTTAAATGACTAAATTCTCCCCTTTCTCCCAAATTTTCCCGCTTTATACCAACTCTTTTCCTTAACAATATGATTATTCATATTTTATATTGTTTATTTGCAACTCCTTTGATAATTATATGGGCTGAATTGGTGTAAAGAGGGAAAATTTGGGAAAAAGAGGGGATTAAGTCATTAAAGGGTCACGTGACATGGTCAACGTCAGGAAATAAAAGTCAAATGTGTCATTCCGGTAGAAGGTAGTCAATTACAACGTTTTATATTTTATAAGGTAGTTAATTACAACATTTTGTTTTTAGGGTAGTTTTTCGCAAAATCTGAATTTTAAAAGGTAGTTTTTCACAAAAAATCCATTATTTAATCGGTATGTACCTGATTTTGCCGAGTCAATTCAAGTCATCCAATTTTGGGTAATTTTTTTGTTCATTCTGCAGTTGGGACACTTTTGGATCATCCAATTCAAGTTCAAGTACAATTGGGTTGTGGATCAAGTTAGATCATTCGGGTTGACCTCGGTTAGTTTTGTTATAAAGTATATTTACTTATAAGTAACCATGGATGCTAGTTGGATAAGCTTATATAATAACTTTAGCTAATTTAGATAATTTATACCCAAAATATATACTACCTCCGTTAACCATTATATGCAACAAAAGCATATTTTATATCTCATAAATAATACCCCTTTGTTGCAAATAATAATTAACGGAGGTAGTATAATTCATGCACCCAAAATACAAAGAATAATACCTTCAGGTTGCCATGAGATAACCATGCATAAGGTATTAAGGTAATATACTACTCAGACTCCGTAATACCTCACTCAAATAATTGTTTAACTAAAAAAAAAACAAAGAGGAGAGAGAAAAACAATTTTTTGGTTATACTATACTATAAAAAAATACAGTATAATTGCGCCCTCTATGTACGTTTTCTAAATTATTTTGGAAATTTGCTGCAGGTGTAAAGAATCGGTTATATATTTGTTAGTTAGACTACAACTAATTAGATTATTAGAAGGTCAAATTCTTGTTTAATGATGCCATTATTAAGACTATTAACAATGCAGGGGACAATTAGACCCCCATAAAAATCACGTACTCCGTAATACATTGCATCCTAGCTAGTACAGTACAACTTAATGATATATTTACAATATACATGTATATTTAATAATTATTACGGAGTATTATCATAATTTAAATTATTATTAAGACTATTTTGTTATTCACAAACAATATTTGTTAACCGTTAACGTCAAACAGCAGAATCTGGGATACTTTGAACCTGGCATATATTGTTAGTTATTTTAGGGGTTACTTGGGATTTTGTATGCATTAATGCACATGGAGACATTATTAGTCAACTCTTACGAAAGTTTTCAATTACTAATTAAGTCTAAGCACTTTTAATACTCTAATGTAATACGGAGTACTATAGTCTATAGATAATTAATTAGATAATACAAATTAAACTGGGCACGCACTTGTTTATAACGACAACCCCAAATATAAAATGTTCACGGCTTTATATTCGTACAATGGTGGAGACAAAACTTTTTTTTTTCTCTTTTTTTTTTCTCTTTTTTTATGTGGCCATGTGGGTGAATTGAGTGTACTCCTGGTATGTACTATGTAGTCAATTGGATCCTTCCGAATTCTAGTGACCAAAAAATTGGTATGACAAATTTTTAACATTAGTACAATATGGTAGTCATAAAATTCATCCTTCTTTTCTATCAATCCAGAATATGAGGTAATAATTTGAAATTAGAAAATAATAATAATAATAATAATAATAATAATAATAATAATAATAATAATAATAATAATAATAATAATAATAATAAATAAGGGTTTGTAACATTATACGGAGTGTTTGTTGCATGAGATATATTTACCATACAAAGTAATTATTTAAGAGTGAAGATGGCATTTGAGAGGTTTTAATCATATTCTAGTGATGCATTATTGTATTATCTTTTCATTTCTTTTTGTTTGTCTCATATTTTTATATACAATTTTTCAGGCTACAGACTCGAGCTTATGAATATTTTTTTTTAAAATCATAAGTTAAATAAAAAAAAGTGAATATTTCAAAATGACACAAAGATAAATCAACAAGTTCCCACATGGACATGCTAATTATTTTATTTATCAAAGATTTTTCACATTAAAAGTCAACTTAAAAAAAACGAATGGAGCTATGATAGACTAGTCTACTATTCGAGATATAAATAATTTAGATAATATAATTTTCGATGAATTATACTTCGAATTTGAATTAAATCAATTCATCAAGTCAACTAATTGGATACATATATTACCTCCGTTTTTTTAGTTGACACGTTTTGACTTTAGCACTATTAACACACCGACCTTTGACTTATACATAATGAAAAATATAGTCATGTGAAATCTTGATAGATTCATCACATTATATTCTTTCAAAATATCAGCTTTTCAAAATTTTTTATTATTGATAATTAAATATATTAATGATTGAATAAGTGTATTGGCAAACTTGACTAAAGAAACGTGTCAACTAAAAAGAAACGGAAGAAGTATTATTTTAACTATGTTAACTTATTATATTTAGAAAAAGTACCACAATTTCTATGTTATTATCATCCATACATCCTTTAAGGTTTTGCTCCATACATGAGATATGAAATCCCATTACAGGGTTTCCTCAATAACATAATAGTCCTCACATCAAATCAAAATAAATAAAAGAGTATATACCTGAGCAATCAAAGTAGCCATGTTGCTTAAGGAGATGAATATGATAATACTACTTTAGTTTCCGTGCCATGTACGGTAATTTTCAATAACTATTATTAAACTACCATTATACTACGATTTTTATCAACATTTAAAAAATATAGTTAATAAATTTTGGTTAAAATTAAGGATTACAAAAGATATGTCAGATATATAATGACGCAAAAAATAATCAAACTTATATGTTAAGATTTTTTTTTTTATGTAGCTATATAAATATTTTTGTTAAAGGTTGTCAATTTTTTTTTTTAAGTAATTATATTATATAATATTAGGGAATTATTTTGGTATAATATTTGTTTCTTTAATCGACTTTTATTAAAAAATAAAATAAAATAAAAAATACTACGTAAAATAAAATAAAGAACACACCATAAGATGACACGTTGTAATACCCCGTATTTTTATGTATTTTTATAAAGTATTTAAGTATTAATAAAATGTATTGTCAAGGGCTCAAGTATTTTAATTAAATATTTTAAAGGGTTAAAGTATTTTAAATATAAAGTTTTATGAAAGTAAAATATGTTTTGGGCCAAACGTTTATTAATTATTGGGCAATGTAAATTATTACTACATACTCTTATTGGAATAACCCATTCCAAAATCCATAACTTAAGCCCTATCCCATAACTCAAGCCCACATTTTTATAAGCCCAAATTTAACCCTACACTTTCTACTCTATAAATACCCCATGGATCCCCAAAAATTTCCCACACAAAAAGGTTAGTCTTATTTTCTCTCTCCTTTGTTTTATTAATTTGTGTAATTATAATTATTGATTTATGGGTTTTGATTTTATTGTTTAAAATTAATTTAATTAGTATCAAATTGTATTTTGATGATTAAACTTAATAATTTTCAGATTTTATAAATTTTATAACCTAGGGTTTTTAATTATTGAAAATCATAATTTTAGGGTTTTTATGAATAATTGATTTAGGGCTTTTATAGTAATGATGTTTTGAAATTTTGGTGATTATAACTACTAATTAGTTTAACTTAATTCCAGATTTATTTTGAACACGCAAATTCATGTTTTAATAATTAGATTTCCGTTCGTTAATATTAATCCTGTTTTAATCCCGATCAGGTTCTGAACTTGTCCGATTTTGATAAAAAAAAAAAAGTAGTGTTTTTCATGTGAAAACAACGTTTTAAGAAAGACTCACTACCTTTTTTAGTGAGCATCACCTTCTCGTGACCAAATTCAGCCTCTAAATATGATTTTCGGGCAGTTTTTGATTTTTACGAAGTTTTTTTTATGCTTTAAATTTAATCCTTGAGTTTAAAAGGGGTAAGAGATAATTTAATGTTTCTATGGATAATTTAAGTATAAAGATGTATTTTGATGAAGTTTTAAAGGATTTTTTATTAGTTTAAAATGTTGGAATTTTATTTAAAGTTGTATAATTGTGATTTTTAATAAAAGGGTGTGATTATCCATTAAAAAGGAGTTTAATTAGGGGTTTTAAAATAAATTTTTCAGATTATTATAAGTTATTTAAAGTGAGTTTAAGTTGCAAGGGTAATTAATATAGTATTATTGTCCCTTTATGTAGGAGACTTGGTTCGAGAATTGTTGTAGAGTACTCGGTTATTTTAA